CTTGGGGCACACATGCAGTACTGTAAGCGCAGCACCAACTCGACGCTTACCCAGCGTATCCAAGGCATGAAGCCGCTGTGGCTTCAGCTGGCAGCAAGCTGTTCCCCGCATGTGGAAAAAGTCAAAGCTGTCAGGATTGCTGCATGGCCTCGGGCGTTGCACGGAATCGCCAATGTTCACCTGGGCCCTGTTCACTTTGATAGCCTTAGGACCTCAGCCATGCGCGGGTTGAGGCTTCGTAAGGGGGGGTCTTCCCCTTTGCTCCAACTAGGCCTCATCGAAGAGTTTGCCACGGATCCGTTGGTTTGGGCGGTCCAAGCTACCGTCCGCGCCTTTCGCGAGCATGTTGACGTCGAGCAACTTAGCACCCTTGCTTGTGCAGTTGGAGGCAACACTGCCCACCATGCTGGCCCGTGTGGGGTCCTGGTTGAGCGCCTTGCCTTGTTCGGTTGGTCGATCTCGGGCCAAGCAGTTGTGGTTGACCAATTTGGTCCCTTCTCTGTCCTGGAGGGGTCCCCGCGGGAGGTTGACATTCGCATGCGCCTTCATTGGTTTGCTAAGGTTGGGGCAATGCTTGCACCACGTAAGGCGTTTCCAGGGCTGGAGCTTGTAGATCCTGCCCTCACTCGAGCCTGCCTGCTTAAGCTGCAGGACGAAGACGTTGGTTATGTGCGGGCTGCACTCAACGGTGCCTTCTTCACCCAGGATGGCATTGCCCATATTAACCCGGCAGAAAGTCCCAACTGCCCGCTGTGTGGCATGCCTGACAGTGTGGTCCATCGGCATTGGGAGTGCGTGTGCACTTTGCCGTTGCGTCAGGCCATTGCCGAGGATGTCTTTGTCCAGCTTGAGCAGTCACCGGACGCTTTGAGAAGTCGGGGATGGGCCCTCCTTCATCCCATGCATACCTTTTGGCGCCGATTGTTGGTGGCTGAGCCGGATGGCATGCCTCGGGCAGGATTGCCCCTAGACCCACCCGGTTCGGGTGGCATGCCTATCTCCCTTTTCACTGACGGCACTGCCCAGTGCCCCAAGTGGCCAGCGCTTAGGTACGCTGCTTGGGCGGTAGTTGAAGTTTGTGAGGTCGACCCGTGGTGTAGCACTTGCATTGCTGCGGGTAGGCTTAAGGGGTTGGTGCAAACGGTGCCTCGTGCTGAAGCCATTGCCGTGTGGGCTGCCCTTGAGTATGTGCACCAGGTAAGTCGTCCCGCGCGCCTCTGGTGTGACTGCCAGTTCGTGGTGGACCGCATGCAAAGCATCCTACAGGGTGGCTTCCGTTGGGATCCGTCTCAGACAGATTCAGATGTCTGGGCGGACATCTGCCGGTTGGTTCAGTTGATTGGGCCGCACGCCCTCCGCATTAACAAAGTTGCTGCGCATGTTGCCAGCAGTGGCCAGCTTGCGCCGCTGGAGGAGTGGGCTGCGTTCCACAACTCACGTGTGGATGAGGCCGCCAAGGCAGCCAACCAAGCCCGGCCTCCAGTGTTCTTTCAGGTGCATGGCCAGCTTGTGTCGCACCAGGCACGAATGCTGGCCCTTGTCCAAGCTGCTCAGGCCTACATCGTCCGTGTTGCCCAGCTGTTCCACCGTAGGGGTAATGATCGCAGTAGTGCCAACGACCGTCCTCGCATCGCGGAAGGGCATCCCGTTCGCCGCCCGCCTGTTCTGCCCCGGGTGGGTGCTGACCTGTGTGAGCGATTTGGCAGCCGCGTCGTGCAAACCGTGGCGTCGTGGTGGCCGCATGCGCTTACCGGGGACAAGTCCCGGTGGGTGTCAGGGTTGCAGTTGTTGCTTGATTACCAGATGGCCACAGGGTGCCGTGGCCCGGTTTTCAGTGGCCCTACCAAAGGGTGGCACGAGCCTTCGTGGAGCAGCCGGGTTGATCTTCATGTGCACTCTGCAGGCCAGCACGTCACCTGGTTCATGCGTGTCTTGCGGGCGGTTTGGCACGCTCAAGGCGTGGTTGTCGATTGCCGCAAGCAGCGACCGGACAGTGATGCGCTTGCCCACTGGGCCTCTGCCTTTTGGCTCCCCTGGCCTGACTGCCGTCAAAGCCAGGTCGAGGACTGGCTTGCGCAGCAGCGGTTTTGCGGCGGGGCGCGCAAGTCGGCCCGACTTGCCGCCCGTCTCCCGCATGCCAGTGCGGTGAAGGCCATGCAGGCTCCTGCACCCGCAGCTGGGCCACTGGCTCGTTTCTTTCAGTAAGGCTTTCACTCGGTTTGACCGCTTCCGGCGCCATACAGGCCCCGGAGGCGCGCGGATTGGAAAAGCTGGAAAAGCTGGATGTTTCCCGTACTCCTTCTCGGAGGTCCGTTAGGACCGTGGACACCAGGGATTCCAGGGAGTCAAGGAGGCGCAGATACCGTCCACGGCGCGAGGATGAGCGAGACCGGAGGAGGGACGATGCTCGTGATCGTCGTGATGATGAATCACTCGATCGGGAGCGAGATCGAAGGCGAGATGATCGCAGGAGATCCGAGAGGGATCGTGATAGGGACCGTGCGCGGGGCGGACGTGACCGGAGGAGACGTGACGATAGCCGGTAGGCTGAGTCACGAGGATTGCGGCCGATAGGCTTGCGTCCGTTCTCCAATGGTCGGCGCGGTGCGGAGGTGGTGATGTTCCTCCCGGACCGCTGAGGCGCGGAGGTCATGTCTCTCCCATACCGCTGCTGGGCTGCTGGACGTGTTCATCAGGGAGCAGTGTGAGTGAGAGGGAAAGCAAACTGATGGGGGGTTACTCCCGGGTTTGCAGAATTCAAGCATTTTTATTCAGGTACGCATGGTCAGGAGTACCTCTTGCCGTTAGGCGAGGGTACTAATGGACATACGTTATCTTTTATTTCATGGCTTCTGATAAGAATTAAACTTCTTGCATTGTTGATGCAAACAGTTGTGACCTAGTGTCGTCATGTGGACTTTTCCACAAGGTTTGTTGGACAGCGTTACCCCGATTAATTCGGGGTGGTGGCGGGAATTTAATGCCCGGGATGTCGCGCAACTGCCTTTGTGGGTTTGCTCCACCGCTGACGGCGGTAGTGTCCAGCTGTTTGCGGACGCATGCGAGCAGTTAAATCCTATCAGTAAATGGCACGCTCCACCCGTCATATGACGGGCTCCTCGTGAGGGGGGTGTGATTAGCCATGGTTCATATCATCATCAGGGACGTCGCGTTAGTGACCGACCTGTGGTGTTTTGGCTCAAGTTTTGGGTTCCGTCGCGCCTCGAATGGGCGTCGCCGAACCCCTGCGTCGACCGACGGCATCTCGGGGGAGAAAGAGACCTCGGGCCGCCGCCAGGTTGGTAGGGACCAGTCGTGCGGCCTGTTGTCGACCAAGGTTGCGGGTTAACCCTTTTCTTGTTTGGTTTGTTTCCCTTTGGTTGTTGTTCTCTGGTGTGTGGGAAACCCTGATCTTTGGGACCGGGGATTGGTTTGCTTTTGGGGAACCTTTCTTTTGTGGCTTGTTTACCCCAACTTACCCATTGCCTGGGCACAGGTTCGTGCCCGAATCACATTTTGTATTTTTTAAACATCAGGCAGTATCCCAAAGTGGCACTTGCATTCGTTACTCGACTCAGCACACAAGCCAAATGCCAACAAAGCTGGCCTCCGCCTAAGTCGCACTTTCTTCCAGCACCTAACTTTGATTCGATGGGAAGCACAGTCCAAGCCAAATATGTCGCGTAGTACGTGTTTGTGCCCGAAAACCTTCGGATGTTCTACCGCAATGTCATACAAAACCAGTTCGCTGCTCGCGCAATCTAGCTGTGTGCCCGCTTTTCTTTGCTGGAAAGCTTCTGGAAGGGCGAGCGCGTGCAAAAAAAAAAGGAAACCCATAAAAATCCCATACGAATCCCATAAAAATCCCATACAAACCCATATTTTTTCCGAAAACCCGGTTTTTCCTAACCCGTACAAAAACCGTACAAATCCCATAAAAATACCGTACAAACCCGTACGCAATTTATGGGATTTTCAGCCTCTGCTCAAGCAGCTTTCCAGGCCCGAGCTGCCCGAAATACGCTTGCAAGGTGACCCTGCGAAAAGCAGTCATTCATGTGTTCGTCCCACGCGTCTTTTACTACCTGCTGTCCTAGTGTTCAAAGTGGATTAGGTTCTTTTGGCTCGCTCCAAAAATCATGTTCCTGCGACGTTTTAGACAAGCCTGCGAGAAGCTCCGGGATCAATGCTTTGCTTGGTTGTCAAACAAGTGAGCATTTGCAAGACGGCCCTCCAGACGTATCCGACGCGAGATTTACGCAAACAGTCCCAAGCAGATTGCTCAGTGCCATACACAATATGTATACACGTGCAGCTACCGCTTGCGGAAAACTGGGACTACTTGTTGCCCTTGTCAGAAAGTTCATATTCCAATGCTGTTTTAGACTTCCCGAGCCACGATCTGGGAAGCCTTCCCAACAAATTGCGGATTGACCATTGTTTCGAGTTCAGCAGGTGATTTGCAACAGGTGCCATGCTCAATGAGCTTGCTTGGATGGGATTGCTAGGCGGCCGTGGAGCGTTTGATTGGATGTAAAAGAGCCAACAAAAGGATTATATTGAGGGAACCACAATCATAACTCACGCAAGACCATTCTGATTACAACGCAAAAAGTAAAAACCCGGTATTTCCTGGAAAAACCCGGATATTTTGCCATACCTTTAAAATAAACGGATATTTGCTTAGAGGGTATATTAGTTTAGAGAATCGGTGTCCTTGTTCCCTTACTCGCAACATTTGGGGCGCTCAACATTTTTTTTAATATGAGATCATTGGACTTTGACTGTTTGGGAAGTGATTGGCCCCACACACATTTAAACCTTCTGCAGAGGGGTCAACAGAAGCCAAGTCTTTTGTTACTGTAATATACAATGGTTTTGTGGTTGGGTTTGCTCCACCGTATTGGGGAGCGGAGGCGTAAGGGGGAAATGTTCAGAGCAACATAGGACCCCCCTGCGTTTATTTCAGAATTTCAGCACTCGGAAAAATTACGATTCAGGTGCCCCGTGTGGAGGCCTTCGTCATTTTGGCCCCCTGGCGCCAATTCGGCTCGTCGGAGCCTTTTGGACCAGTCGAGCGGTTGCTTTTTTTGCGAAATTTAAATTTGCCGTCGATGGACATATGGGGTGTCTTTCTTTAGCCCCCCCCCCCAAAAAAAAAAGGAAGAAGAAGAGGCAAACAACATTTTTGGGTTTCCCTTTAAATCCAACCAAAAAGGGTACTCTCAAGAATGGCCCCCCCCACATGAGGGCATGTTCATGTGTTGTTTGGAGGTATTGAGGTTGCTTTGCATTTATGCGAGATACTGCCCCCAAACCCCCATGAAAGTGAGTGGTATAACCTGAGCACCTCCAAGCAACCCACCTGAAAACGCCATTGAAGTTTGCTTCTTTTCGCTCGGCGACCGTGTGAGCCTAGTGTTTCAGGTTTTGGGTATATATGGTTCAAGGAACCCAACTTGAAACTTTGAACCAGAAATGGCATCAGAGAGCTTTTCTTTCCATTGGTGTCTTCAAACATTGTGTTTTGTTTGGGAGTCCTTGTTAATCTTGGCAGCGGTCTCTTTTGATTTTTAGGGTTTAGTGGTTGGGTCGTTGGGTTTCCAGCTAACCCACACATTAAACATTTAGCAGGGAATCTGAGGGACACGTTTTTCGGGGCACGAAAGGAAGCGACCCTGGGAATCCCTGCTTGCCCTCGTTGGGGGGCTCAGGGTATGTGCCAAAGGGTGACCCCCAAATGGATTTGTGTGTTCCTTTTGGTTTCTCTTTAAACCAACATCACAAGGCTACCGAGCCTTCAGAAAAAGGACAACCGCGTTTCCCTTTGGCTTCCCTTTAAAAGCACCAAAAAGGGGCACCCTGCCAAAAAAGGATAGCCCCAGATACTATCCGGTTGGTCATTCTTGGCATGAAAGTCTTTTCTGGCCAGCAACACTACTGTTTACTGGTTGTCCACGTTTTCAGTCTTCTTTTCTTGGCGTAGTCCTTTTGCATTCCCAGCTTACCCAGCCGTCTCTTGTTTTTGCCATATGGCCGTGGGTCAAAACCAATGCTACCATTCTGGGGTAGGTGCACCACCCATTGTAGTCTATTTTTGTGATTGAGATGTTCACTGGGGGTACGATTTGGATTTTGACCCATGGCCATCCTTGGAGACCTCCTTTTGCATTCCCAGCTTCCCCAGCTGTTTGGAGACCTCCACTTTGGGTGACCTGACTTCGGTGCACTTTGGCTTAGATGTTAGGACTTTAACTTTTTGCCAACTAGTGGGTTTTCCGTATTAAACCACTAAAAGTTATACAGTTATTCACTTTTAGCAGGGGAGCAGAAATCAACTGACCTGAGGTGGTCATAGTCCTTTTGCATTCCCTGCTGGCCCAGCTAAAAAAAGAAAAGAGGAGAAGAGCACATTCTCTATTTGGAGAGCCACTTTGGGTTTAACACCGGTGACCCGAGGTGGTCACGGTGTTGTCCAAGCAGACGAACATCGCCATCGCGGTGCTGCTGGGCGTCTCCATCTGCGCCGTGGCCTTCGCCTGGGACGCCGGCCAGCACTTCAAGCTTGCGGAGTCGATGTGGCTCGGGCGCAGCTTCCCACCCTTGGAACTTCCCCCAGCGAAGACTCCCCGAGCCCCGCGGACGAAAAAGATCCCTCGGGAAGTGTTTTTCAGCTAGGTGCCAACTTTTACCGTTTCTTTTTTGGTTGGGAGGGTTCAACCCTACTAAAAGAGACGTCCAGAAAAAAAAGGTTGGTACCCTTATTCTAACCTCTCTCTGGAGGACCTAGCCACCCAGACCTGGGCCCCAAATCCTTTGGTCAACTTTTGTGTACCCAGAGGATCCCGATTTATTTAGGGACTTTTGAGTACCCGGATCCCCGATTTTTTTTCCCGGGCCCTCAAAAAAACAGGTTTTGAGACCCCCAAACACCTGCGGGGTGTCCAATGGAGGGGTTTGGGTCTTGAAAGCCCCAAAAGCCTGGGTAGGAAAGAACCCCTGTAACTTCAGCGACCAAACAACGAGTGACGATTCTTTGTTTCCGTGGACACCACTGCGGGTTGATTTTGGTGGTTGAATTTGAATCCAGACCCCTCCAAAACTCACTTAGTCGATCTTGTGTAAATGATTTGGACAAGAATTTTCATCGGGGACCCTTTGGTGGTCATTTTGCAGGGGTGCATTTCTTGACTCAGCAAGCGAAAGATTGCCCATTTTCCCCATGCCCTCTGAAGTTCTGGGTACAAGGGCTGAATAATTGCTGGGGAGCTTGGCTGAATTCAGTTTTATTGTATTCGGATTTGTGCTACGCAGTCATTGTCGCTATCTGATTTCATTTTATGGCGCCAGGAGCAAGTTCTGTATGCTTAGTTCATAGTCCTCATGACTTCATGGAGTGTGGTACCCCCAATTCTCCATATTATTCAGCCCCTTTTGAAGAAGGTGATGGCATGGAGTATTTGCTGGTTGGAGTCTCTTCAGTCAATCAGAGGCATCCCTGAAATGAGCCGAGTGCTGAACCCTCATTACAACGATTCTCGCACAGCTCCGGTGACATCAGGCACCATAGATTTTGGGCATGTTATTGTCCAACCGACACCAGGCCCAGGCTTTTCAAACCTCCATGTAATCTTTTGCCTAGGCCTGGGAAAACAACCGCTCGGGTCTGAACTGACACGGTGGGGTGGGAGACGACCTTTTCCAACAAAAGGACCCCCCGCCCCTTTGGGGGGTAAGGTTCAGGTGGGTCAATTTCAGAGCATTTGGTTGGGAAAGGGTTTTAAATCCATCCCCACATGTAAACCTGCGGGATGTCAAGTCACAGATGCTCGCTTGACGCTTTGCTTTTGCTTTCTTGGTTGGGAAAGCTTTCCACATTTTTCTCGGGGCAAAAGGAGGGTCATTTGTTTTTTTCTCCCCAGCTGAAGCCTTGTCTGCCTAAGCTCAGGAGTTCGGGGCCGCTTTTTTGGGGATCCCGGGCAGCTTTCGCCTGAGGCACGGCAAGGTGAAGGTCTACGACATCGACGGCCCCCTCTTCTTCACCTCGGCCAACCGACTGGTGAAGCTGCTGGATCCTTCCAGGGACCCGGAGGAGCCGACCGCATCGATCCGGGGGCAATCGGGGGTCGCACCGGGGCATCGGAATCTAGAAAGGCGAAGAAACGCCGCCAAATGGGAGACACGACGCCAACTGGGTTTGCCTCAAAATGGGTGGACCCCGAAAGAAATTGATTTTTGTGTTGGTTTCCAATTTTGCCAACCAACCAAAAAGGGCACCAAGTGACAAAAAAAGAAGACATACCGCCCAAATGGAAGAACCCCAACATGGGGCTCAACGTGTTCCTCCCCGCCGCAACCCCAGGGGCCTCGTTTTTTTTTTTCCTCTCTTTTCTCACGCAGAAAATTAGCGAGGGTTAGCTTCCCTCCCATGGATTGCCTCCCTTTTGGGGCGGACGAACACCCATGTACCACCTATTTTGACGTTTACCTTAAAAGTACCGCCGGGTTTTGACCCGCCGGCTGTGCTTCGTAGCTTCCACGAGCCGAGAGCGAGCCGAGAGCGCTGAGGAGGTGGAGCTGCGCTTCGGGGAGGCCACCTTGATGGACTTCACCTCCGTGGAGACCCTGCACAAGGCAGGCGCCCGCCCCGCCCCTCGCCCCTCGAGCGAGCGAGCGAGCGAGCGCGTGGGCGCCTGTCGGTTTTTTTTTGGGTTTCGGGTGTTTGCGAAGGAAGAAGTCTCGAAGCCCGTTGGAAGTCCAAGTCCAGGACTTCGGACAGAAGCGGAGTTCTCCGAAAAGAAAGAAGGAGATGGTTCGTTCTGTTTGAAAGCTGGTTTTGGTTGGTTTTAGTCGGTTTGGGTTTCCGTTTCACCCACTGGAAGTTATAAATTCAGCTTTTTAGCAGGATTGTGTGGCTTGGTTTCCATTTAAGGCACAAGGACACAACTTTTGACAGGGGATCAGCAAAGAGACAGCCCAGTTTGATCGGCGGTGCTTTCCAAAGGCAAGACCCATGGAAGGGCTGGATTCGACGGGCTGAAGTTCAAAAAGAAGAAAAAAGAGAAAAGAAAAAAAAGGGGAGAGGGTTTTTGTTGGTTGGATGGTTGGAATCCGTTGCGGAAATTCCGAACGGGTGGCTTCCTTTTCCAGGTCCCCAGTGCCATTTTACCTTCTTTTTGGGGCAGGGTTCCCCTACTAAAAAGTCTAAAAAAGTTGGTTCCCTTATTCTAACCTCTCTACTGGAGGACCTAGTTACACAGAACGAGAGAAAAACCCACGCGGATTCATGAGGAAGTCGGATCCATCCACCTGGTAGCAAAGCGCCGAGGAAGGGGAAGCGTCCCCCTCCAGTGGATTCTCGCATACAGCAAACGTTCTGGTTCATGAATCCTTGGCTCCCAGCCATCCCGTAGTTTTTTGTTTTTCCCGAAGTTTCGTTGGCTTAGTGGTTGGGTTGCCATTCAACCCACAGGTTAAGCTGTGAGGGGATCGGTTTGGGCCCAGAAAGTCCAGGTACTTCCCATGAGTTTGGCTTGGATTGCCTCGGAAGCGTGCAGGTGGCGCTGAACTACAAGGCTGTAGGCGCACTGCAAGATGGGCTTCGGGTTGCGGGGTGGGTTGTGGGGTGGCAAATTGGCGTTCCTGGGTGTGGAAACCCCCCAAAATGGGTTGGATTCTCTTTGGGTTTCCTTTTCAATCACCAACATAAAGGGTACGTACCCTTTAAACAAACCACCCCGCAAATTGTCAGCTGTGCAGTTGGGGATCGCGCAGATCCTGGGAGACGAGCTTTCTTTTAAAGATTGAGACCCCCTAGCCGGTCGATTTCGTTTTGCCTCCCCCTCAAAACCCGAATTCCACAGAAGAGCCACAACCACAGATTTCACCAATCCCAAATTGGGCCAGACCCCAAGGCAGCAGTATTGAATTCCTTAGTTGCCCTTCTTTTCAGCCTCAAGTTTACTCCTGGGATTCAGGAGCTGAGTAGCTTGCTTGAGTCGTGAGGCAAGAGCATCACCTTCCACACCCTTAACATGAGCAGCCAGAAGCTCATCGAGAAGGTGAGGAATCCGGCCGGCAGCCACGAACTCTTTTTTGGCTTGCTTACTTAAGCTTCGTCTTTTTCTTCTTTTTTTTCCGGGGCGATGTCCAGAAGGTGTTTACAGGGGATCCAAATATTCGGATTCCCCCCAATGGGGTTGTCTCAAAATATAAGAATCCAAAACAAGTGGTGTCCTTTTGCTTTCCTCTCAAGACCAACCCAAAGGGGGTACCCTCAAAATCAGGCACCCAAATTTTGCAGGTTAACCCACCACATCCAATCAAACCCAAACGGCGAATTGTTGTGGTACAGGTTACGGGGTTATGTTGCTTCAGATACTTGGCAGTGGTTGTGTGCTTCAACCTGGACAGAGATTCCCACAAATGGCTGTGGGTCAAAATTGAGCCACCAGGGGACCGCAGGTTTGAGTCCATGTTTCCTTTTACCAAGGTTCCATTTTGGGTACCTATCACAGCCAAATGATGCCCACCAAAAGGTCCACCATTGGGTTTCCATTTAAAGCTAAACACTTTCGGCAGCTCTGAAAACAGACAGCGAAGGTTAAACTCCAAGAAGCCCTCGATCGGGCCTTTTTGGGCGGGGCAAGATCGGGAGCCTCTGACCTTTGACCGGCCATGTTGTTGGTTCCCACCCTGGTTTTTCTGCCCTGCAGTTTTGCCTTTTGGTTTCTCCCGCAAAGGAGGTTAGGGGTCAAACAACGACCGTGTCTCCTTTTGTTGTTGCCCTCCGCACCCCACCCAAACCTCGTCAGGCAAAGTTCCCTGTATTTTGCTCTTGTTGTAGCTTTAACATCATGATTTGGCCTTTGGTTTAAATTGGTTTCCTCTGGTGGGGGAGGTTTAATGGGGAAATACTAGGTGTGCTTTGGTTATTTAGATTGGTGTCATTCGATTTACCAGGGAACCCCCCCAACAGTCTTGGGCAAGCTTTCCCATTCTTTCCAGGGATCCTTCTTTTCACCCTCAAAAAACCCGAAAAAAATATAAAAAAAAGGGAAAACAAGGAAACATAAAAAACAGTCGGTTTTTGAGAAGAACCATGCCGTATTTCCTAAAGGCCATGCCAACCAACGCCTGAGACGGGCGCAGGCCAACCACCTGGTCCGCGCCATCGAGTACAACGACGAGGCCGCAAGGCTTCCCAGCGTGCCCGGCAGCCCAGTTGCCCGAGTCGTAGGAATCCACCCGCGGAGGAAGGCAAAGGGTGGATAACATGGTTGTCGTTGGGAAACATTTTTGCATTTTTGCTTATTGCGGTTTAGTGGAAAATCCCCACTTAACTGCTAACATTTAAATGTTTGCTCCCCTTCCAACGTCAACCAAGATCAAGGGTGGATGCCAAGTGAAACTTACAAGTAAACCAACCATACTCAACCAGAGCCACGGTAAAACAAGAAACTGGTTGGTTGATTGGCCCATCTAAATCCCAACAGGCAACCATATGATATTGCTATGATTTTCAATAACGGACATCATTTAGGTGGGGTGCATGCCAATCATTAGGTGGGTTCCCGAACAGAAGTCATAGCCATGTTCCATCAAATTAATCGACAAACAAACAGATTGCGATATGAATGAAGCCTTCATCGCAGTGTTTCTGGGACAGGTTAGGTGTATCTCAAAATTCCTTCAACGTGTACTGGGAAGCCTTCGTTTGATGTTCCTCCTGCATTGAGACATGTGTGTGTGTGTGAGCCTAGTTGAAGACATGTGTTCTTTCATTTTTGTGTGCACCGTTGCAAAAGGTTTGTTCCACCTCTCCTTTTAGCAGTTGCCGTTTTTTCTTCCAGTTTGATATCGTTGCCCAGGGACAATTTGCGGTCACGGCAAAAAACAGGCGTCTCACGACGGGGCGCCCTCTGTCCTAATGCAAGACGAACGCCTCTAAACAATCCCCTCATTCTCAGGGGTGTTCCTGGTTCTGCCGGGGACCACTTTTGGAGGGGCCACCATATTTATTTTCCGAGGTTTAGAACAAGCCGCGGTCAACATTGCAACTCGGGCACAATGCTTCAGGTAACCCTCAATCGGTGGTGAGATGGGGGTCCCAACTCCGGCAGGTGGCCTTTTTTAAGGATTTGGACCACGCAACCATGGGTAGGTTTTCCTTTGTTGGTTGTCCTTTAAAACCGCAAAAACAAGACGGAACCCACGAGGTTCCAGGTAGGTACCGTCCTTCTCACATTGCCATGGCCAAAGGGTCCCAATTAACCCAAAATCACATAGAACACCCCCCCCCCACTTGTTGGATGTAAGGGAAACCTAAACACAAGCATTGCCCTTTTTTCGCACCCGTGTTTGAGGGTTCCAGTAGACACACCGCTTCCGTTTTTCTCGAGAACAACACTTTCGCATCGCTCGATCGGATGTTTTAGGCCCAGCTTCACGGACGGGTTCCGGTGTGACCCAATGGCGGCAGAAGGGGTCTTCGAGCGCAT